AGAGAGAAAAAAGGTGCTAACTGTACCTCAGGTTTAGGAATGGTTAAGTGTTGGTTTCCATGGCTAGTGGATGACTTTGCTTTCTTGATTCAATTGCAAATGACCTAACACCTCTGTTCTGTTTAATCTTATTTAAAGAGTCCTCCAAGGGCTCAGATCTTGAATGACTAAATTATTTAGACCCCTTAAAGAAAGTCAAATCCTCTTGCCTAAGGAGGATTTGATTTCTTCAGTGTTAGATGAAATCCAAACTTGCATATATTTAACTATCATTATCATAGTAAATAGTTTAAAAAAATTTCGAAGGAGAAAGAGCTGTAACCTCTACAGATGAACCTATTGATGAAACCATAAAGACGAATAAACCACTCATAAGTGAACCATAATCTGCATTGTCTCATCTGTCCCCAATTCCAAGACCTGACTACAAGGTGTCCTACATATATCACTTAATGATTCAGTCATGAGGTAAAAACTCAAAGTCTGCTTCTTGGGATCCCTCTGTGGGTACAGTCAGTCCTGTGTAACCATCATCAATTCAAAACAAACTTGGCCAAGAATCAGACTTAGTGTGCCAGTGTGGGTGACCTCAGAACTGAGACTCATGGGGGAGCCAGGGAAGGCGAGCAAGAGGAGAGGCTCCAGGGCTGCATGGGGTGCCCTTTCAGGCTACACGATTCTGTCGGCTACTGCAGTTGGCCCAGGTAGGCACTATTTCCAAAATTCAACTGTCAAGGAAAAACTCAGAAACCTTTAGTTACTTGCACACCATTGTCAGTCACTCTCCTGAAATGTGAGTTGGGAGAGTTGGATACAGGCATAAGGAGGATGTGGCAGCTGCAGCACTGGTGGTCTCCAGGGAACCAATGACCCTTGCAGCATTTGCACCTCAGTGGCGCCCCTTCCACATGGAATGTCACATCACATGCTTTGGTCAAGGGGATAATTGCCCGGGTGACAAGAACAGAGGCATCATAAGAACTTGGACCTTGTAGCTTGTCCTCTTGCAACATTCTCTGCAGAGCTAGAAGCCATGCAAGAGTTCCAAACACCAGGAGCCATTCATGCGGTGAGGTGGTTAAAACCAACCACAGTGAGGCCACATGGAGAAGCAATGAGGTGTCAGAATGCAAAGGAAGCTTCATGGGCCTTCCAGACCATTTACCAGCCACCAGCTAAATGCAGCTCACTCCAGGTGAAACCACGTGGAACAGTCAAGTCCTCCTCAAGGAGTAAATCATTGTTTTAAGCTACATTATTATTGAATATTTTTTATGTAGTAATAAAGCAATGCAGTATTGATCAGAGAAAGGGAAGACAGGAAACTGCCTGAAATAGGGAATTTTGCATACTTTTGGGTCTGAAATTCTGTCATTAAATTTTTTTTGGATATCAAAGAAAACTATTTGCATTGTTTACTCTCAAGAATTCTGAGGATTAACCTACATAGCATAATTGTATGTAAGGCCTACCAGTGGCCTTTCACTAGCTTTTCTGACCTTATTAGGTCAGGTTTGTATTCTTTCTTTTATTAGAATGTTATAGATGAAAACTCAGAGGTGGGGAAAAGGCCAACTCTGAGTAGTCTGGAGTATCTGAAGCCCCTCCCTACAACTGCTTTTCCTCAGCTAAAAACAGCCTAGGGGCCCTCCTTGGTGGTGCAACAGGGAAAGCACAGCACTATGAAGCTAGCTGAAGCCACTGCAGAGTTGATCCGCAGCTAGGGAGGTGACCCACATGGTGAGACAGACCTCTCCTGACCTGTCCGCTGCACCCCTCAGCAGTGTACTTTGTCAGTCTGCTTGTTCTGCTCCCTACTGTCTGGTGAATCCTCTCACCACTCTTGCACCTCTGGCCTGTACCCCAGCTTGTATATGCATAAATAAATAAATCTTAAAAAAAAAATAGCCTAAGTTGTATTGGCCGACTCTCAGAGCTGCCCACAGTGGAATGCCCTAAGACCGCTTCCACCAGAGGAAGGAAAGCTGGTGTCTGAGTTCTAAATGTTGCACAGAAGCAGGGGAGAGGAGTGTATGAGTCAGGGTCCTGGAAATGGGAGCTACCCAGTGAGACCCAGTGGCTTATGGAACTCAGTATCTCCCTGAATATGGGAGTATGAGGATGGTAAAGATGAAGAACTAAAGGGTGGTTACAGATAGAAACTGAGGAAAATAGACTTAAGAGCTGAAATACTCATAGAACAGTGTCACACAAAGTGAAACAACTAAACTTTATTTGGTAGAAGGGTGAATTCATCACTGGTGACTGGAGCTTTGAGGCTGCGCTTTCTCCTCAGGAAGGTGGGCTGGCATGGGGGGTGCTGTGGTAGGCAGAGGCTGCGGTGGTCTAGGGTCTGGGGAGATAAGCAGAATTAGAGCTGAAGACGTTGGCATCTCTCATACCCACCCAGAACTAGTCAATGCTCTTCAGCTTATGTCCCCATCACCTCTTGACATCAAGGGTATCCCCCATTCTCCTGTACCACCTCCCACCTGCTTGGTTTCCCAGCTGGGCTTCAGGCCGGTCTCCCCAGAGCACATGTCCAGGGTCATTGAGGAAGCGCTGGCTTCGTTGGCAGGTCAGGCAGGTCTGCACTGTCCATCGCTGTCCCCTGCTGCCTGGAATAAAGCCGCAGGGAAAGAAGTGTCGGGAAAAGCTGTCCTTTCAGGAGAAAAATTCATCTCTGCATTCAGTTTTGCTGTCATTGTTTTCCAGCAGGAATTGGATCCTTTCCCACTCAAAAACAAATTTGATGGTGTCCGCCGTGCCAACTCTGCCAGTTTGTGGGTACTCTTTGAGATAAAGTCCAAACTCCTTAACAAGACTTTTTCAGGTCTGCTGTTGCCTTCTCTAGTCTCAACACTTGCTCCTGCCTACCCCAAACTCCAGCCGCCTGAATTCTTTTTTTTTTTTTTTTTTAACTTTTAAGACGTTGTGCTTACCAAGATTCTGGCAAAAGCTTTTATGTAGCAAAACAGCATACCAAATAGCAAGAACAAGGAGGTAACAAAAGCCTAAACAAAATTCGTAAAAAAAAGAAAAGAAAAGAAAAGAAACCAGGGCCCTCCCTGGTGGCACAACCAGTTAGAGCACAGCACTGTGAAGCTATCTACAGCCACTATAGCACAAGTTCGATCCCTGGCCAAGGAGTTGACCCACATGGCCCTGCAGACCTCTCCTGACCCCCCTGCTGCTCCCCACAGCAGTGTATTTCAGTGGATCTGCCTGTTCTGCACCCCACACTCTGTCTCTGGTGAATCCTCTCACCCTTGTACCTCTGGCTTGTACCTCCAGCTCTTGTGTGCATAAATAAATAAATCTTAAAAAACAAACAAACAAAAAACAACCAAACTAAGCAACAACTACCACTGATTACATAAGGTTTTCTGACTTGTTAAAACTTAAACAGCATAAAATATGTATTTTGGAATCTTCAGCTATCAAGGTAAAAAAATGTACCAGTTTATATTCAAGATGATTCTTTTCTAAAACCAAGTGTAGTCAAAATTAATTCAAATGATATAATACATTCTAAAGCTAAAAAACATTCAGTATTATTGAAGTAGAGTGATAAACTCTAGAGCTTTTGGGGCTTTCTCATGCTGCCAAAAAAAGAGCTGTTTCTATGCTTCACTCAAAGCAGCATACAACAAACTCCAAGGATGAATGTGAACCCGCCAAAGCAGGAATGTCATACCAGTGCTGAGCACCTGTGAAGCATGGCTACTGAGTCCACACTATTCTGCTAGCTACAGAGACTGCAAGCTCCCCCAGTCCACCTTACAATTCCTTCTCCCAGGTAAATAAAAGTATAAGAATTAAAATACACTTATCTACAGAGTAAGGATTTTGAACATCAACGGTTATTTCTTATTGATCAATGGTTTGTTTCTTAACGATGTAGTCAGATTCAGTTTCTGCTGCTTTATCATTAGGTACTTTTAGTCAAAAATAATAATTTTATCCCCAAGTATCTCAACCACCAGGTACAATTGTAGCATATTATCTCCCAGAGTTATCTTACTGGAAGAGAGAAAAAAATGGATGTTTAAGCAAAAGTAATGATTATGGCCTTTTTATACAGTGGCATCTGAATGGCTACTGAACAGTCCAGAAATAATTCTAAAAACAAAATTCATGCAATTTAGTAAATATGTCATAACCATCACAGTTAAAATTTCTTTAGACACTGCACTTTTTTTATGAGAGAATCCTGATTTTAGTGTTATGGTGAGTTAGGGCTTGAACTAGCAGCATTTTTATGTGCTTCTTATGCTTCCTTTTCCTTTTTTTCTATTGGTTTTTCTCATCTTCACTGTTTTCCTTCTTTTTTGCTCATACCTCTCAATATAATTTGATTCTGACAAGGAGTCAGATGACAAAGGTTTATCTTCAGGATACATTGTTCGTTTTTTGCTGAGTCCTTTAATGTCCTTTTCTTTCTCAGCTGCATCCTTTGATTTCTTTTTCCCTTTTTAAAACTATCCTTACTGTCTGATTCAGTTTCTGACATGGAGCTTTCAGAAGATTTATGTGAACGGTTCTTCTTTTTTTCTTTCCTTATTTCTTATCCTCACATTCAGAATCTGAAGAACTGCTGGAAGAATCAGAGCTTGGGGCCCTGCCTGGTGGCGCAAGGGGTTAAAGTGTAACACTATGAAACAATCCACAGCCACTGCAGCACCAATTTGATCCCTGGCCAGGGAGGTGACCACATGGTGCTCTTGACCCACCAGCTGCTCCCCTCAGCAGTATATTTCAGTCAATCTGCCTTTTCTGCTCTCCACTCTGTCTCTGGTGAAATCTCTCACTCCCCATACCCCT